GGAGATTGTTGATTAATATTTCTGTCGCAAGTGGAGGAGCTTCTCCAACCCAGGAGGGCCACCACATTTCCTCTAACCTGTAAAAAATTTATATTACACCTTTCTATACATTCCACACAGGAAGGTTTATTGTCTTTTTTTCACACAATTAATCCAACCCTTGCTCTCAGTGTTTATCACACTGTTGTCCATCATTAGAGAATGATCTGCTCTCTCCATGGGATCAGAGGCTGAACTGTGCTCTTTACCATGCTCTGACCAGGAGAAGCAGACAAAATCCCTGGTCTCTTCCATGGGCTATAATCAGTGTGTAGAAGGCTAGTTCCCTCCAAAAGCCCCTGCCCTGGTTTGGTCTGTCACATTTCTCCCTTATCAAAAAGTAGACTAACCAGATCTCAGTGGGCAGAGTTAACCCACATAGTCGATCTACATGATTTTCATTCGTGGCTGAAGGGAAGAGTTCTCATCGGTAGGTGAGGGGCAGAGGTTGTGGATCCTCTGTTTGGCTGCCAGCACTTCAGCTGGGAGGTCTTTACCGTTCTGGGGCTTGGTCTGCTGCTGGGTAGAGGGGCCGACTGCCCTAACACCCTGGAGCTGTACAGACACAGTAGGTGCTACACAGAGGCAAGTGGTGCTCTGCCCTGTTGCCAGTGCTTTAGCTGGGGACCCCACACCTTCCCCCCTGGCTAACTGTTGGGGAGGGAGGACAGTCTCCTCCTCTCCCAGCTGTGGATCTGCCACTGGGAAGATGAGCCGGTGGCTCCATGTCCTGGACTTCTGCTGTGGAGCAAGGATGATTTCCTTTGCTCCCAAGTCCCTACACTGCCATTGGGGGGTGAGGACAACCACCTCCTCCCCAGCATTGTGCATCTGCTGCTGGGGACGGAGGATGACCACCTCCTCTCCTAGACTGTGGATCTGCTGCTGCGGAGCGAGGATGGCTTCTTCCCTTCCCTAGACCTTGAACTGCTGCTGGGGAGATGAGCTGGTTGCTCCATCTCCTGGACTCCCAGACTCCTACTGTGGAGCGAGGATGACTTCCTATGCTCCCAAGTCCCTACACTGTTGCTAGGGAGGGAGGATGACCACCTTCTCTCCTAGACTGTGTAGCTGCTGTTGCAGAGAAAAAAAACGCTGACTACTTCTCCCTGTGTCGCTGTAGGTGTTAGGCGGAGGTAGTAGACCCGCTGTGTATGGTCAGAGACTTACACTACTCTGCCCCGCTGCCAGTGCTTCAGCTGGGGGTTAGGATTTCCACTATATCAGCCTGCTGTTGAGGAGAAGGACTGCCTGCCCTGCCTCCCTGGAGCTTCGGAAGTGCTGTTGGTACTGGGCAGAGGTCATTGGTGCTCTGCCCTGATGCCAGCTCTTCCTCTGGGAAATAAAATGAAAATTTGTTGGCCTCCAGAGCCACCCATTGCAGTAGGCAGAGGTCAGCAGCGCTCTGCCTTGATGCCAACTCTTCTGCTGGAGGCTCACTGGGTTGTTCCTCTTAAGCAGAAAAGTCTATGAAATCTCCAGTTCCTGGAGCTGATGGCAGTGAATAGAGGTTTACAATCTCCTCTCCCTGGATCCACAGAGCCACTGAAGGTGCTGGGCAGAGGTTGTCAACACTGTACCCCGATGCCAGCGCTTCTGCTGGGGACCTCCCATCTTCCGCTCTGGCTGGCTGTTGAGGTGGGAGGACATCTTCCACTTCTCCCTGCTGCTTCAGAATTGCTGAAAATCCAGGGCATGGGCTGGTGGCACTTAGGTCCAGTGACTCATAATCGATAACATCTATCGGTGCTGGGGCATACTGTTGAGCTTCGTCAAGCAGTCTTTTATACGCTTGTTCCAGCTCCTGATTGGCTAGAAACTCCAAATCTTCCTGTGCCCAAAGCACTTCGAAAATGTTTAGCATCTGGTCTTTGTAATCCATGATTTCATCCAAACACTGCTCCAGATCACTCCTGAAATTAGGGCCCCTCTTACAGTCTCCAGTACAACAGGCCCAAGCCACCGTCTGTTGTCCAAGGGTACACGGGCTACATGCCAGCGGAGGGCTCCATGGCTCTCACCCAGCTGCATCTCTGCCTGCTTCACTTAGCTGTTCCTTCCTCATGTGGTTGTTCCCCCAACAACAACACTCACACTTTGTACTGCAACCAGTTCCTTTCCTGGATGGAGGGGGGAATTTTTCCCTGACAGTGCTGCTCTCGGTCTAACACTTCCTTCCACAGTTGCTGGCAGATGAAGTCATACCATCCCAGCAGGGCCTGCATTGGCACTAGTCTTCTGTGCTGCACCTGCATCTTTTACAGCCTCCTTACGAATTCCTCTTCCATGGCGGCTGGTATCTGTACCTCTCCTCTTCTGCTAACCGGACCCTGGATCCCTGTGGTGGTTTGGATGTCCCAGACTGCAGGAAGCATCCCACTGATAACAGCAAATGTGATGGACCACCTGGCACCCAGCCTGGGTGCTTCCATCAGAGAGCTGCTTCCTCACAGCTGGAACACAGGAACAAGATATTATAACTGAGCATTGCACCCAAGATATAGATGACACTAGCTTAGGTGCAAAAAGGAACTCTTTACTGTCAATTCACACAGAACTTATACCACACAGAATCAGGTAAGAGCATGATCACAATATCCTAAACAATACAAACTGTAAGCAGTAATATCATCAGCACATCTAATAATCAGCTAACAGTGATCTAATTAACAGTAAGTTAATCAACAGCCAAGCACCCAGACAACGCTAATCAGGGAGTCCACGGAAGACTGTCTGGCAACAAGCCAACCCCTGAATACACAAAGTACATTACACATGCTGTCTTTCATGTGCAATCCGTCCACTAGAACAGTTACCATAAGAAAAAGAGATAATAATTTATCTTCATAGATTTCTTGAATGAGATTGTTGATAGATGTTTCTGTCACAATTGGAGAAGCTTCTCCAACCCAGTCTGCAGGAGAGCCACCATATTTCCTCTGACCAATAACCTGTACAAGATTGTGACACCTTTACATACACTCCAGAATGGAAGCTATATTGTCTTTATTCAGAGACTGTATCCAAGCCTTGCTCTTAGCATTCATCATGTTGTTGTCCATCATTAGAGAATGATCTGCTTTTTCCATGGGATCACAGGCTGAACTGCGCTCTTTACCTTGCTCTGACCGGGAGAAGCAGACAAAATCCCCGGTCTCCTCCATGGGCCATAGTCAGTGGGTAGAAGGCTAGCTGCTAGTCCCCTCCAAAAGCCCCTACCCCGGTTGGGTTGGGTGGTAATCTTCCTTTACTCTACCACAAAATTATTTTTACATAATCTTCCACTATTTATAATATGTTTTAGATTTTGGAGACCTCCTTACCACTACATCTATTACCTTATTTATAGATTATATTAAGCCATCTTTGGTATGGTTGATAATCTGGAGAAGTCCTTTCTGCTACATTATATTATTTTTATATATTACTTTTTGCCATCTTTAATAGGCTGAATATTTTTGGAGACCCCCTTATGGCTACATTTATTATAATATTTATATCTTATTTCTCTGATATGTTTGATATTTTAAAGACTCCATTACTGCAACATTTATTACATTATTTATATGTCAATCTTATGCTGTCTCTGATACAATTAATATATTAGGAACTTCCTGATTGCTAGTTCTCCCTCGCAAACTTTACTGTTTTATATGTTTTAATTTTTTTTGCCAGTTTTATAGACTGTTTTTGAGTTATATTAAATACCTCTTGTACCCTAGGACGTTTTACCTACAGACACCAATTTTATAGCCTTGATCTGAGGAAGGGGCAATTTAAAGCTACAAAAATGCATTTTTAACAGTGAAATAAAGTAATTGGATATTTTAATAAAGCTGACGACTCATGCCTATCCTTTGAACAACCACAGTGGGCACCGCTGCCAGTCGAACTACCTAAGGGCCCTTTTTGCACTGACTCTTTCTACTATAGATGATTCATGTAGCATTTACTTCCTGGAATCCATCTGCCCTTAGCTCAGGCATGCAGTCAGAAAAGAGTATTTTAGCTAAGAAAACCTCTCCTCCCTTCCTGAAGACTCCTGGGATTTATGACATCATTTGCCAAGGCATGGAAGTAACTAAATAAATGTAAAAAAGCTTAAAACAAATATATATATATATATATATATATATATATATATATATTATGCTAGCACCATGAGGATTAAAAATAATCAGTATTGATGGAGTGAGTGAAGATCCACTTTAACCACTTATGGTCTGGGTCAATTTTGACATTTTTCTCAAACAAGTTATAAATCTGCATATTTTTAAGTAGCAGAAAACTTCTTAGGTCTTACTTAGGAACCCTAAACGATATATATTTTCTGAAAACAGAGGTCTTGGAGAATCAAATAGTGGTTGTTGCAATTTTTAATGTCAGAGGATATTTGCTCGGCCATTTATCAAGCGCAAATTCAGGAAAAAATATGCCTAAATGAATTACTTTAAAAACACAATATCATACTAATTTTTTGTTCTGGTAAAATATAAAAAATTACGTTGTTTCAAGTAAATAGATACCAAACATGTCAAGATTTAAAATTTTGCATTGCTGTGAAATGGAGACAAGCTTCAATGCTTTAAATTATCCATAGGCGATGCCTTAAAAGCCTTTACAGGTTATCAGTTTAGAGTTAAATGAGAACTCTGGTTTTAGAAATATTGTTCTCACTCTGATATTCAAGGCAATACCTGATATGTGTGGTGTAATCATTGTTTACACATGCATGCTGAACTTACATGCACATGAGCACAGGGGGACAGGGGTGCTTTAAAATTGTATTATTTATTTTAGTTAATTTTACACTGTTTTAACCACCTCCCGCCCGCCATATAGTTCAATGACGGGTGCAAGGTGGTTCTCTCATTCTGATAGGACGTCATATGACGTCCTTCCATTCTCACCGTGCAAGCGCGGCTAAGGGAGCGTGCAGCGCGGCAATCAGTGGTGCGCTGTGTCCCTTGGACACAGCAGATCACCGATCCACGGAAGGAGCCGAAGATGTCAGCTCGATCATGTGATCAGCTGTGTCCAATCACAACTGATCACATGTAAACAGGGAAATGCCGGTTATCAGCATTTCTCTCCTCTCGAGCTGTCACGCTGACAGCTTGAGAGGAGAGCCAGTAATCGGCATTCCGCGGAGGGGACAGGTACACTGATCATCAGGGCACTGATGATCAGTGTGCCCTGATGATCAGTGTGGCCCCAGAAGTGCCACCTGTCAGTGTCCATCAGTGCCAGCTGTCAGTGCTGAACAGTGCCACCTGCCAGTGCCCATCAGTGCCACATCAATGCCACATATCAGTGCCCATCTGAGCTGCCTTTCAGTGTCACCCATCAGTGGCAGTCAGTGCCCCCTATCAATGCCAATCAGTGCTGCCAATCAGTGCCACCTATCAGTGCCAGTTAGTGCCACCTATCAGTGCACGTCAGTGCCACCTATCAGTGCCAGTCAGTGCCGCCTATCAGTGCCAGTCAGTGCCGCCTATCAGTGCCATATATCAGTGCTGTCTTTCAGTGCCTATCAGTGATGACTGTCAATGCCCATCAGTGCCACCTACCAGTGCCTCCTCATCAGTGCCCATCAGTGCCACCTACTAGTGCCTCCTCATCAGTGCCCAACATTGCCACCTATCAGTGTCCATCAGTGCATCTTATCAGTGGCCATCACTACAGCCTCATTAGTGCACATCAGTGAAGGAGAAAAAATCACTTATTTACAAAAGTTTATAACAAAAACTAAGAAAAAAGGTTTTTTTTTTTTTCAAAATTTTCAGTGGTTTTTGGTTTGTTTAAGAAAAAATAAAAAACCCTGAGGTGATTAAATACCACTAAAATAAAGCTCTATCTGTCACAAAAAATGATAAAAATTTCATATGGGTACAGTGTTGCATGACCACGCAATTGTCATGCAAAGTGTGACAGCGCTGAGAGCTGGAAATTGGCCTGGGCAGGAAGGGGGTATAAGTGCCCTGTAGGCTAGTGGTTAAAATTGTTTTTTTTCCATTCAACTTTATTGCTATCACAAGGGGTGAACAAAACCCTTTATGACAGCTTTGGACAGTGACAGGTCCTCTTTAGTGAGAGATCAGGAGCCTATTAAGCCCCGATCCTTCCTCTGCCCTCAAAGACAGTTGAACAAATAGAGATTATTAAGTGTTCTTGCATGGCAAGACCACTTACTGTTATCTCACATATATATTTTTATTATTATAGCCAAATTTACCACGCTAACTCCTCCCACGGTGTTTACATTACATAGACAGTAATATACCGAAATGTGCGGATTGTTCCCAATTGGTGTGCTATTACTTTGTGGAACGTTTCGCCGACTGGTTCACAAAATATTGGCGTTTATGTGGTGAAATTGGTCCCATAGGAATGAATGGTGGAATGTTCAAAACTAGAGTGGGAGCTGACAAAAGCTAGAGTGTAAGCTGAAAAATCAGGACATGATTTCTAAACTGCCATCACTCCCTCATTTTCAAGCCCACCTACACAAATCTTCTATCAAAACGTTCAGCTATCCCTGCTGCCACTAAAAATGTCCACGACTAAGCCATAGTCCTGATAGTTTTCACAATATGACCATTTGTTTGCAACTCACGCCTTCCATTGACATTCATTGAAACTCCACTGTAGCCACCTCAATTGAAGGGCAATTTCTAAACTGCGACTGTGCCTTCATTTTTAATATTTCTGAGACATACTATGCATCAAAATGTAGGTCTGGGTCTTGTGATTCTCACAATATAAAGCACTTCGGTGTAGGATTCATAATTTTTAAACTACAACCGTTTGAAGATGGCAACCGCCAGTGAAGTGAGCAAGTTGGAGCAGTTTGTTTTTAACCGCTCTTTTCTGCCCTTGCTGTAGAGTGAGTTGCCATAGGAACCCAGGTGTATGAGCAGGCAGCAGAGTGACAAAAGCTAGAGTGTGAGTTGTAGACTACTGGTGGAGGCAAGAACACTTCACACAATTTCCCCAGAACTTGTAGCCTTTCTAGTTATTATTCTTATTAATAATAATAATAATAATAATATACAGGATTTAAATAGCGCCAATAGTTTGCACAGTGCTTTATAACATGAGGGCAGACAGTACAGTTACAATACAATTCAATACAGGAGGAATCAGGGGGCCCTGCTCGTTAGAGCTTACAATATAGGAGGCATCTGTTTGATCAGCTCCTTCCATGGCTGCACCAGCTGTACCATCACTGAAAATAGAAATCCAGTGAAGGAGAAAGCCTGGGAACAGACGTGGCTGGCAATGGGAGGGGGGGGGCTCTTCCAAGCCCTATAAAAGTGATCAGGAAGCTTTAAGCTGTAAGCTGTGCACGATCTTCTCAGGAAAAACATACCAGCAGACATGATGGCACTTCTGGATGGCGTCCTGTGCATAGGCACAGGTTAATAAAAATATGGGACTTTGTGAATTTTTTTTACAGTTTGCTGGGAGACCTTCCCTTTAGGGGAGGTGCTCCATTTGAAAAAAATTGCATATTTATAGTATATAAATTGCCTTTACATACATTCCCTGCCCACTTTATTAGGTACACCAGTTCAATTGCTTGGTAACTCAAGTTGCTAATCAACCAATCACATGGCAGCAACTGAATGCATTTAGGCATGTAGACGTGGTGAAGACTGAGACGCGCAGCATCAGACCCCAGCCCTTCTCACCAACTTGTGACCGAAGGACCAGCCAATCTAAAACCGCACTGCCACTTGCGTAACAATGCCACTCTCAGCTGCACCCTGCACAAAGATTTTCCAGCTCACTGGACAACAATCTATGTGCCAGCAGCCTGAGAGTGATTGTTACTGGGTCAGGTTAATTACGCAATTAACCCTTCACACTGTTACCACCACCTTTTTACAGAGAAGGAGGAAACTCACAAATCTTAGCAGTAACACTATGATGTTTGAATAAGCATCTGTATACACACTGCCACCGCAGACAGAAGTATGCAGAAGTTTTAAAAACACACTGTAGCACTCTTCAGAGACAGGGATTCTTAGTTTGCATTAAAGAGCTTTAGAAACAGTTCAACACTTTTCAGAAAATAGGATTTATTACTAAAAAGGTCAAAATGGTGCAATAAAAATATTTACAGAAAAGATGTAGCCTATATATATATATATATATATATATATATATAAACAGAGAGAGCAATAACTCAACAGAGAGATAAAGGAAAGAAGTTTAAGAAGGTAGGATACTTGCAGAAGTCCTTGGTTTAAGCAGTGCTCAAGTGTCCTGAACAAAAGGGTACGTTTTCTTCCAAAGTTCCTGATGTTAAACGGGAGAATCTCTTCATACCTCTCTCCAGGCATGACAGCCTTTTCTAGTGTCCCAGCAGGGGGTGTCTACTGAAGCCAAGGGCCAATCGCCTCATTTGGGGAGGGGTGTTAGGCAGAGACCCAGGCTGTGACCCAAATCCCTTGCGAGTTTATACCATGGTCAATAACCTTCCATAGGTGCATGTAGAAGCCTAGCCACTAGTAGATTAATATGCAGAATCATATTCTGAACGTCCAGACACTAAATATGATATATCCGACTGTGACAGATAAAAAGATATTGCTTTCTACTCTCTGGTAGACGTTACCTAGGGGTGTAAAGTATCAGGTGACTTGTATTAAAATGACATATCTGAATATATGCTTTGTTTTAATGTACCTTGTTCCTGTCGGGATTTAATGAATTTGTATGAAAAAGTGATTCAAGTGGGATGTACGTTTTACAGCCACTCTGAGATAAGGTTTCATGTCAAGTGAAGGACTGAGTTATAGTTTTACGACTGGCCAGATGAAAGGGTGTATAGACATCCTGGAACCAGGCTTAATTGGGGTTACAACCATGAAACTATCCAGCTGTGCCTTATGCACTTGTGACCCCAGCACACACACAGACTACATTCCTGCAAGGGGAGGGGGACAGGAGGGAGAGAGAATGATATTTGCAGAGTCTGATACAAAATATGGTTGTCATTGTCCATATCTGTATGTACAATTATCACATAGACAACTTGCTGAAGTTCAAACCATATACACAAGAAAGTATGGTAGAGGTGCAAAATGTGGGACTTTTAGTGTAAGGAATTAAGGACTGGATGATGGAGAGGGTAATGAAAGTTCAGGGTGTAAATCCATTAATCCATATATGTGGAGGGTGGTAACTACATCCAGTGCGGCAACCGTTCCTCAGAGTATGCAAGCTTTGTGTGGAAAGAAAAGAAAGGGGACAAGGGAGGTGCCACTAAGTGTAGTATTGATATGGAGTTTATTCAGCAGGATAAGTAACACTCACAAGAGAGTTGATGAAAGATCGCTTGTCATCATACAGTAACACCAAAGATTCTATGTAGCCCAGAGTCCAGGAGGGAATCCTGCTAGCCACGGATGTGAGGAGCACAATCACAGCATCTGCTGATGAACCGGAGGTGAAGGAACCAGCGTGGAACACATCTGTGGTTCAAAGTGACATCAAGGCAAGGACAGGTGCAAACAGGCTATGTGCTCAGAGCTCTTCTACTCCTTGTACAGGCCTGTAGAAGGAGCTGGAGAGCTCCAAGTGCATAGCTTGTTTGCGCCTCTGCACACCCAGTGATGGCTGAGTTGCTGAGCGACCCATTCTTTCACAAATGTATTTATTTATTACAGGTACTTATATAGTGCCATCAATTTACACAGCACTTTACATATATATTGTACATTCACATCAGTCCCTAACCCTCAAGGAGCATGTAATCTGACAGCATCCTCCCCCTGTCCTGCCCCGACTTGGCTACGACCGCCTACAACAACACGCTCTCAACAGCCCTTGACTCACTAGCTCCTTTAACCACACGCAACATCAGACCCCGACCGCTCCAGCCTTGGCAGACTGATCACACCAAAACCCTCAAACGACACAGTCGTGCCCTGGAGCGACTATGGCGCAAAACCAAATCCCAACAAGCCTTCACCCGCTACAAATCTGCCTTCCACACCTACACCTCCTCCCTCCATGCTGCCAAACAGGCCTACTTCTTGACCCTCATCAAGGCCCCCTCTCCTCCAATCCTCGCCGACTCTTCTCCGCCTTCAACACTCTACTCTCTCCACCCCCACCTCCACCCAGCACCTCACTCACTGCCCTTGAGATTGCCAATCACTTCAAAAACAAGATTGACACAATCCGCAAGGACATTGCCACAACTCACACGCCCTCTCAACCCGTCCCCTCTCACACAGCTACCCCCTTATGCCCCCTTCCCCTCGACATAACCCGCAGGGACTTCGTCGCTGCTCAAACTCTCTCCAACCCCCTTCACCCTCACTCAGCTACCCCCTCATCACCCCTCTCCCACGGCCCCACCACTGCTCTGACCTCCTCTTCCACCCCACCCTACATTCCTCATACTGAAGCTCCCCCAACACTCCGCACCTTTGACCTTACTACCATCGAGGAAGTCTCCAAG